GATCTCTTATGTTTAATAATTCTCTTGAAGTCAGATTTAGAAACAATTAATTTTACAATAATTACTTCAAAAAGATTGGAGGTCCAATTTATGCTGAAAGCACAAAATTCTATGATGATGGATCAATCTACAATAATAGTATTTAATCCTTTGGTGGAGCAATAACCTTAGTTTTAATGTACTATATTGAAATTAGCAATGTACTAATGGAATATAATATGGCGGATAAATTAACATCTTGTTTTGATATTGACACTCCACATGGTGATGCCAAAATAACAAATACTACATTGAGAAATTCGAATTCATTATTTGGTCCCATATATTATTACAAAAGTTCGTATTCTGATCCTTTCACAGGTGAGGGTGCTGATGATAAATAACTTTATCTTATACTTGAAAATGTCACTATTATAAATTCCTAATCATTTTACGCATCTGCCATCGTATTTAACAGTAAGAATGGAATTCTAATAACCAGAGATTTAACTCTAAACTATACTTTTGGCTCATAATACAATAGTGTTTTTATTGAAATTGCTAGATTTGTTGAGATGCATGATACTAAAGTTTTGAATTTAAATGATGGATTCTAAACTTCATTTCTTTATATTACTAGTATTGTAGAATCTCTTTATATAAGCAACACAATAGTAACATGTGATCAAAGACACACTATATGGAAAAGTAAAAACATATTTAATGAGAACCAATAAGAAGAATCAAGAAGAGGATTACAATATGCAGAAAAAGAATTTTCCTTTGAACCAGATTTTGAAAGTTTTACCCCTCCTTCTACATTAGTATTTTTTTATGGAATTGGCTAAGTTTATGTAAACAACATTACAATAAGCGATTGCTTATTTTAGTTAGATTTAGATGGACTTTATTCAATGAATACACAACAACATTCTACCAAAAAGACTCTCTTCATTGATTCCAATTCCAACTATAAAAATATAACAGTTCTAAAAAATTACATGTATACTCTTTTGTTTGCTGCTACTTACATTTATAACGTGACTCTAGAAGATTTTAAATTTGACTAAAGTATTATTAAATCAGATCAATCTTTTAATTTTATTCAAAACATCTCTATTAGTAACCATTACTGTCTTAGCGATGGAGGAATAATTTTTATTTAAGAATATGTCGATATTGAAATTGGATATAGCTAAATTTAGATCGTCAACAGTACATTCTAGAATATTTAAGTATAAGGAGCTGGAGGAATAATCTTTTCCCCATTCATTGTTGATTACATAATATTTGATAGAGTCATAATTAAGAATATAACTTCTAAGTATTAAGGTGGCTTATTCTTTTTCAACTCAACATCTGAGGATTATTTTAACTTAAAAATAATTAACTCCTATATAACTGATTTCAAATCTCTAGATAAAGGGTAGTTTCTATTTGCTACTTTAAAGAATTTCAAGCTTGAAATCAGTGAAACTACTATTGAATGCTCTTCAACTTTAACTGAAATTTAAAGTGAGCTTAGTGAAAGTTAAAGCATTGGAGCGATCTACATTTAAAATTCAATACAAGGTTTATTTACTAAGCATTCAATATTCAGGTAATGTAGAGAATCAAAAGATGGCTCACTAATTACCTTAGAAAATACCTATTTTGAAGATTATGAATCTAAATTTGAAAATAACCTGGCATCATATGGCGGAGCAATAACCTGCAATTTTTGTAGAATGAAAATGACTAAAACCTAATTTATAAACAATATTGCCAGTTAAGGAGGATGTATTTTCACTGATTAGACTGTTAATCTACATTTCTTGCAAATTTCAGTATTGAATAACACTGCCTATCGTGATGGAGGATTTATCTTTTTGAGACTTAACAATCAAGAAACAAAGTCTTTGTCAAATGTAAGTTTCATAGATTCAAGTCAAATAACAGCTAATTTTGCTAATAGAGGAGCATTTATTTATTCTTAAAATCCAAAACTCTCACTACTATTAAAAGAAATTGAGATATTTTAAACATCTTCAGCAACTAATGGAGGATTCATGTCATTTCTAAGTGCAGAAAGAGTAGATATAATAGATTCAAAATTCTATAATTTTAGATCCAAATCAGGATCATTTCTCTATTCAATTGCAGAATAATTAACCATGAACATTACAAACTCGATTTTTTAATGCAGTACAACTGAAACTGAAGCAAATAAAACAGTTCAATTAAATGATAGATACTTTGCAGCAGATACTGACACTCAATTTTCTATTACCAATGCAGCTTAAGTAAACTCTATTAACAACATATACAAATTCTGTGGTCCTACCTCTTATGGAGGACAATATACTTTAACTAAAACTAAATTCTTTGACTAGAAATCTTAGTATTTATTCAACACTGGCTTTTATGGGGGTGCTTTTTATAGCCAAGAATCATCAATCATTATTTAAAAGGTCAAATTCCATGGAAATCAAGGAAAGGTGGGTGGAGTATTCCATCTTGCATCATATTCAAATCTTACATTAATATCTTGTGAGCTATTTAATAATGAAGCTACTATCTCTGCTGGAGCCATTTATCTATCAACAAAATCTCTTGTCTAAATTACTAGTTCAGATT